TTTAGTCTTTCAAGTAAAATTCGTATTCAGATTCTGTTGTTGAAGTATAAATCAAGTTAATTTGTTGCTTTTCAAAACTATTCACGGTTTTGGAAGGCGATCAAGTTTGGTAAGCACCTTTTTGTGTTTTATTTTGTATACAATTTTGTCGAGAGACAAGAGCCGATCAAGAATGTGAAAAAATGGAAACAAATAATGAAAGTTGTGTCAAAGAGGGTAAGATTTATGAGCTCTCGATGACTAAACGCTTATTATTTCATGAGAATTTGTGCGAAACTTTCTTGTTTATGTGGAACATTCTGTAACCACTAACGCTAGAATTTTAAACGGAGCCAAGTTTGTTGCTAAGAATTCTGTTAATATATTGATTAGAACGCTAAAGGAATTCTTTCCAAGCTAAACTCAGTTTAGAAGTGAATTCCATTGAACAGTGCAGAGTTAAGAATCTCTTTGTTGGATATTGCATAGAATGAAGTAGGTGCCTGTTTTGCAACTTCATATGTGTGAGAATATATATGTCTAGAGGTACAATAAGCTTTGTTTTGTACAGTGACGCAATCACATTAAGGCGATTTCATCTTAACGTATGGGAATACAAGTATAAACACAAAGTAAGTATGTCTGTGTGCTTGCTCTCATAATCACCCGTTCATGTGTAGTACCGTCAAGCAGTAACCGATGTGGTTGTTGCGGAAAGCTTAAAGCTGTCGAGGTTTAGAGCTTAGGCGTCCATTAAGATCCCGTCGACAGTTAAAGTTAAACTAGGAGACGCTTTGAATTTTCATCAGAATTTGCAATGCAAATGTTGGTAGAATTTTGTCGTACATTTTTTGAAATGTTGATATTCGAGATACTCTCCGTAACTTTTGCATTTTGTGAGTTATGAATGTAGATGTTTTATGTTTCTTTTATTTTCAATTTGTAAAGATTGTGCTGACTTGAATTGATAATGATGTAAGTTTTTGTATAGCTGCAGTAACAGTGGTAGCGATTTATTAATGTGTTCAACTAACTAAATATATCGAGTTTCGCAATAGGTTCGTGTTACAATACTAGTAACGACGAGACTAATAACGTATTTACATAAATACGTAAGTAAGAAAGTGCAATATAAAAGTGCATTGACTTCTTTTATGTTAATTCAAGAGTTAGTCTAAATTAAGCTTAGTCGGTAGTTAGTGGAAATGTACAGTCTGGAACTGTAGAAGTAATCGAGCGACGTGGAGTTGATCAGAGGAGCGTGTCGGGGCTGGAAGATGAGCGTGTGCCCATTAAAGCTCTGCGGCGGACGGCTGGCCGTGATTGATGACGCCAATTCGCCACTTGTCCAGCCTCGCCAGCGGTTCGCTCCCCCGTCGTTATGCGACTTGGCACGCTACGGTCTTGCCATCTAATTGGACACTTTTTACTTCAAAATTTGTTTAGATATACGATTGTCGTGTTTCTGAGTCAAAATGTGATGTTTTGGAAGCAGTTCACTGGTTATAAAATCGGCAAAAATTATATTGTTTCAGATCTGCGTGTGATGTGTCTGTACCGAAAATGTGAAACAAGTTTACGTCAAGACTAATGAGTTTAATATGTGTCAGTCTCAGTACCATCCTTGCCGATTGAGGACAATAACACTCTTATTGAGTTACTTTGATTTAATTGCTTACATACACACATATATGGGGCTTCCACGAAAATCTTCCTTCGTGATCGGTATTGAGCTTTACGCTTTACCTCACTCCACGTCAGATTCTTATTGTTGACTTAAAATCACTACGTTGGTGCTTCTTGTGTGCATGAACGCGAAAATCCCTAGCGATACACACACCCCTTACTTATTTCATATCTCTTTTTACAAGCAAAGGTCTACAGTAAACTTACTTTTCGTTTTTTGTTGTGTTATTAGTCTCTTTTAATAGAGGACGAGTCTATTGCCATACACCGGCTTAACTCAACTAAGTAGGGTAAGGGTCAGAGCAAACAAGTTTTTCACTTACATCACATTTTTAAACTGCAAACAGCTTACGAGGTCCAGCTTAGTTGGGGCTAGCAAAGCATTGGAAATATTTGGAATGAGGTTTTTCAACTATATTCTGCGGTATGAAAATTAGAAGCGTAATATAATGTATGAAGTAAAAAATAAGCCTACAAGTACATCTTTTTCTACTAACGTATTTCTCCTTTTATACGAACTTAACAAGAACCAATTCATTACAAAACGGCAAACAGTTAATCCGCAACAGAATCCTCGTAGATGATTATGGTACTTATCAAGGAAATGTTACATAAAATAAATACGCCCTGTATATACAAATTAATTAACACCATGTAACACCTGTGCGACGAGTTAGATAATCCAACTTTGCGCATTGAAACTTTTCGGAAATAAATTGGGTCTCCAATTACAAACGTGTGTTCGGTATCACGTAGTCTCGGTACACTTAGAATGTATTGCTAACCTATATGTTAATGAGATAACAAGTATACTGCCTTGAAACTTAGAGTAAATTATGCTTATTTGAATTATCTATTTGTTTTAATGTGTATTGGTTCATCACACACAGTTAGGCAAAGACATTGTTAAGCTGGAGAGAACGGGGGTATACGTCCGGTACATTTTTAGATTTGTTCATTTAAGTATTCTAGGTTCAGAATGAAAAAAAAACCGAGAAAAATGTTGTTGATCAATCTTGCGACACAGATCACTGAAACACCCAGAAATAAGCCCAAAAACGTTTAAAATAAGTAAAAGAAAAAAAGCGTTTTCATTAACATCACCAACGTTAGTCACGGAATTCCCGAAAGTAATATTTTCCGTGGTGAGTTATAGCGTTTATGCATCGGTTGAGTAGGCAACCGATCGATCACAAGCGATCCCAGGAGCGTGGGCTAGGTAATCGGCGTGTTATCTTGAGCGCAGCGTGACACCCCGGGCTCGATCACGCTTAAATAGATTAACATATTACCCGCAGATTGATGCTGACACTTTTAAAAATTGAACGTCGAGATTTTAACAGTCTTCGATACGCAATTAATAACAGTATCTACTCTCAAATAAGAGAACTCGCTCGTTTGAAATTGGCTATTACAGAAATGAAGTAAGCACGTTCTTCGTTCTTGATAGGTCACCTATAAAACTTAATAAGCTTTTATGAGCATTTGCGACGTTCTTATTACTTGGAAACAACTTGTACGATATAATGTATTTCATATAAATAATTTACTGAAGAAACTTTAATATACGAAAATATTTACCGACAATGTATAAAGTACATACTTATAAGTATGTGACGAATCAACAAATTAATTTACTAGAAATATTTGAGTTTATAAAACTTATTTATACATTTATTTTTAAAACGAAATCCTTGTCTAAAATATATAAATGCAGTAAAATCGTCACCGCCATCATTTTGAAAATAAAATCCCAGCAACACACCTGAATTTTTCGAGGATAATAGGTATCACTTAAGAGATTTCATCGTGTCATTTTCCCCATTTCTATAACAACGTATCGCGTTTGTTAATTAAAACATTTATACTTAATGGTTTTGTTAATGGTTGCATATTCTGAAAGATTCATAACAGTACCAATAAATAGTATAATCCCATGGGTGCCATGAATTTTTATAACCATACTCATCACAGAAGATGACTTTTCGAATACATTTTAATTACACTGAATAAATACTAAAATTAAATTTGAGGCATTGAAAGGTCAACGGTGACATAGTATCAATAGACGTGCAACAAAATGCGGGTCGCTCACAAAGCTTCTGCGTGTCACGCTGGTGATTGATGACGTGTCCCCTCACTAGCCGTGCTCTTTGTGGCCCTCTTGCGCAACCAAATGTGCACGTAAATATCGGCATTGTATCGCCAATAAACGTCTGCTTCTGTATAATTGATGTGCGTCATATACCCCGCGCTGTCACGCCGATGAGATAATATGTAGGATTTGTGTTGATTTTTTTTATGTATGACTGGTTTTATTGAAATGAAAGGTCTTCTAATGTACGTGAATACAAAAGAAACTTTGTGAGTATAAACAAAGTTTTCTTAAAACAAACTCTAGTTAAACTTTATGTTTAAAGTGTTTTACTGTAGTTAAAATAAAGATTTAAATCAATTGAAAGCACCACAATGAGATAAATTCATGGGAACTAGTTAATTCCTGTTTATTTATAGACAACGAAGAGAATGAATGAATAAATAAAGAGTAAACAAACGAAACAATAAAAATACCATTCTACAAACTAAACCACTAATGAATTGAACGATTCAACACAGTCTATTTATATTTACGACGCAAACACTCGAGCTTGTAAGACCTATTGAATTGTGTTCACATTTAATTGCAATGAAAATCAGTCTTTGGTTTCATAAATGAAGCGGAAGTGAACGTCTGCACGAGTCGCGCTGTCTGGGCGGAGCGGGCCGCGGCGCGGTGGGCCCACCACGGAAACTACAAATTTCGTTTAGAAATACTATGTTGTTGTCGTGTTTGTGTTACATTAAATTACAAACGCCGGGTTAGGTCTGTTAGGTAAACATTTTCCGTTACCTACTCCATTGTCCGCTGCCCGGCTTATTCCGCTCATATTTGATTAAAATGGAGATTTCATGAAAATTTGCTTCTGCTATATTATAGTCCCATCCTAAGCACCTTTAAACGAATAATTTTATTTTACCGACCCACCGTTAACGAAGCGTTTTTATTGTTACAGGTTGAACAAATGGTTAACATTTGGAAAAGTATTGTTAGTACAACAAAACAATGATTCGGGTAAGTGCTTTTTATACAGTTTTTATTGTGGAACAGTGGCACAAAGCGAGTGCGTTACGCAATGTAATGTTAGTGTGCGAGGGCGCGTAAGAAAAGTGTGTGATGAGCTGGAGGCGCCAGAGGCGGTGCGCGTGCGCGAGTGCGCTGCGGGCCGCGTGATGCGCAGCGGCGCGCGCGTAGCTGGCGGCGCGTGGCCCGCGCCCGCGCACGCCGCGTGCGCGTGATGCGCGCGGACCGCGCCGCGCTGCTCGCGTGGCTCGTCTGCTGCGCGACCGCGCTCTCCGCGCACAAGTACAGCACGCGCGTCGTCAGAACCAAGTACGGACCGCTGCGCGGGATCGTCGTGCACTCGCATCCGCAGGTCGAGGCCTACCTCGGAGTGCCGTATGCCACACCACCATTAGGTAGTTTAAGGTAAATTTTCATTCAACTTACATTTATATCAGTTGAAATCTAGAATTTTTGCAATACAATGTAATTTTACACCTATAAAATCTTTCTGTAGAAAAAGTAGACCCTTGACCTTACTACAAACATGCACTAACTTGGTGATTAATTGAATATGCATATTGTAAAAGCTATTAACGATGACTGCAATATTTTATTGCTAATCTCTTCACATGTTTTAATTGTGTTAGATTGCTACATACATTGAATTTTATAACATAAATGCCATGTGCCTAGTTAGCAACTCTACTAGTATTTATTTACGGATTAATATACAAACTGTACTTTATATAGAGGTACGGTAAGGCTGACACGAACTTCACTAACTCAGAGACTTTGCCTTGTAATCTGCTGATGAATAGAGACGAATGCAGAACTAATTGAGCGAGTTGACGAGCACGTAAGACAACCTGTAAAAATAATCACGAATATGTCTCACTGTTACCGTGTAGTTTGTACGAGGTCGATGAACGTAACCCAGTGTAATTTCCGTCGTACAAAATGATTCGAGAAATTTACGACTGTTGAATTTAAGTTGACTCATTTTCCGACAAGTGTGGCGATAACCGCAATTTGGTATGAAACTGAATGCAACGTTATAGCGACGGCTCCCATTAAGCGGATTAAATTACACTGATGCTCTTCTGTGTTCACTACTGACTATAACTATAACCCTGTTACAGTATGGTCGAAAAATACAAGTTCTTCCATTCAGAACTCATAAGCTAAATCCAGTAATTTGCAGATTAACGGCTCATATCATTATCACTCGTTTTCGTCCATTTAATGTACAAAAGTTCACATTATAACCAAGTATTGAAAATCTAATGATTTCGTTGTATAACAGATACATGCCGCCGGTGACGCCGTCGCAGTGGCGCACGACGCGGCTGGCGGACGCGTCGGGCCCGGCGTGCCCCCAGGTGCCGCCCGCAGCCGCGCCTCGCGACGACGCGTTGTTACTGCACCCGCGCGCGCGCATTCGACAGTTGGAGCGATTATTGCCGGTACTGGCCAATCAGAGCGAGGACTGTCTTTACGTCAACCTCTATGTGCCTGTTAATGGTGAGTGGAAACTTTACAGAAATACCGTTATCGTTTTCTGCTTGCAAATATGAGATGATAGTAACAGGGCACTTTGTTTTTGTCTGTAAAATATATTGTAATCGTAAATATATTGTGAATAAATAAATATGTATACTTACAAAATCATGCATGATTTTAATAAAGCTGTTGTATATTATGTGCTTATTTATGTAACGATACTATTGTAAACCAATACGATTGAATATAAACACACAGTGTGTTTCGGACAAAATAAAGAACTAATAATAAGTAAGCAAATGTTTAGTCGATCACATATTGACAATACTGATGGTTCATAACAAACCTTATAATTCATTTGGGAGTGTGGTCCACGAAACCCTTGACAAGAAAGCAAGAGGTCTTTTCTTGAACAAGTGGATTAAGCTACGAGGTTGTATATGGGAATTACAGTTAGGTAATTCTCAAATACACCCGCGGTTGGCATCGTGCCCAGCAAATGGTACCTTCGCCCTCTTCGCATACACTCATATCGTAGTCGGCGAACTGTTAGAGTACCGAAATACCTCCTCCTAATCCCCCGGGATTACCGCCGCGACACTTATATATGTTCGTGTATAACAGTCTTTGTTTCATCTTTTTTTCTCGTTTAGCACTTGTCTAATAGACCAGAACAATGGTATCAACATAATACAGCGGCCACTGAGCTCTGGCTGCTCATTAATCCCTGCCAGCGGTTTATTCATATAATTTATTCACGTCATTTCCCAGTTAATTCACTGTCCGTTAAGCATGTCTCTTTAAAAATGTAAACAGGTACGTTTTATATATGATCCAGTTGTATGAGTTTCAGTGTATGGTGTACTGGATTTTAACTAGATGTTTTTGACGTAAGATATAAATATGTTGTAGCACTCGTAGCATCTCGTAGCAACGTAGTAGTCATTACTCGTAGTTATATTGTGTAAGCTACGGAACAAGTTAAACAATTATTTGCGTAACTTAATGTAGGTACTTCTATCGCGTGTGTTAACTTATTAACCTTATAAAAAATGCTCAAATCATTTTCTTTTTTTAAAGGTGAATCCTTTTCTATTGAAATCAACTGAAATGATTTAATTGTGATCATCAATCATCAATCATCGTGAGTAAAAACCCCTTTTAGAACTGTTTGATAATAATGTGAAAGAAAAGTATTTTTCTGACCTTCATAATAAGTAATTTAAACCCAAATTTGGTGGTTAGCAGCACGTAAAATAGTTTTATAACTAATTAAGATTAAGTTTACTTTCGCAATTGGTTTAGCTCAGAAAAATAAGACCAAAGAAAGAGCATTAATCCAAATAACTTAATATCCTCTTCGTAGACAGCAAAAATAAAATGTTTACGTCAAAACTTAAATTAATTCTTGAAAACTTTCCTTTTTTAATTTCGTTATAATATTTGCCCTGTAATCGGGAAGGGTAGATTTTTTTAGAACCTCGTTTTGTTTGTTTTTTAAGACGAAAGTAGGCGTTTCTTCAAAACTCTGCTCGGTATTGCATTGTAATATAATGCAGGTTTTCGTATGTATTGTTAAAAAACAATATTCAGATGACAAAAGTATAAAATGTATGAATAATTAAAATAAGTCACAGTTGTAATACTCAAAATGATTGAAAAATAATGTTATTCACTCGTATTGGTATTATTGTTCCAAGATAAGTACATCAATATATAAATAAGTCTAGATACCTATCTGTGTACCGTTTATTTTTAGCTACAAACATTACCTGAATGTACAACTAATACGTTTCCTAATGGCAAGAACGTTTAAATATTGATGTACTGCCAAATTTTAGACGTAGAACCCATTTTAAGGGGTTGCTTTGAATAGTTACCTCCGTCTGAACTTGACGCGGCTATAATTTATGCAGAACCGTTCCAGCTGTGAAGTTGAAAGGTTCACAAGTTTTAAGTACTGTAAATATATCGTCGTTTGTGCAAGATGGGAATGAACGGACGTCGTATAAGATGACATAGAAGATGCATTGCGGAGGGGAATGAGAGGAAGAGGGTTGGCGTTGGAGGGTGTCGAGGCCTCAATTCCGTAGTGCATTGCAGTGCATCCTGCCTCCTGCAAGCAGTGCGGAAGTGAGGCTGAGACACCCCAGATCTACAGCTCAAGAGCCAAGAGCGAAGAGCCGACTGTTTTGTTGTCAATATTGTGAGTAGGTATTATACCAGTGTGCAAATGTTATTGTTATGTAACCCTATTGTTATAATGTGCTCAATGAGTTAATGTTAAGTTTTTGTGTACTGTATAAGTGTATAATTATTGTAAACTGAACAAATAGTTTTAACAATGTATGTGCTTCGAATTGTTATTTTGTATTCATTATTAAAGGAGCAAAATATATTTATCAATATTGGTATAAATTAGACCTTATTTTCTTAATATTTTCTTTTATAGAAAGTTTCTAAGGTAAAATTCTTAATCTTTGTTTTATTCGCACTTATTAGGATACTTATGAAGCACTTCTAATAACCATTAATTAACAGTATCAGATAGCGCTTCGTAATTTATAAGCTGGCAGGAGAAGCCTTCGAGATAATTATCTGATTTGGAGTTTTAGCGTATTTTTCTTACACGCGGAAGATTTTTTAATATTTTGGTTTAAATTTGGTACTGATATATGATGAGAGGATATACCTATGTATGTAGATTTATATTATAATGAATGTCCATGAATATGCATTCTTCTTAGATGTGTCATTAGAAAATTATTGATTAATTTATTATTTTTTTCTTAACGAGCGGTTTTACTGTTTACTGTCAAGTTTATTTTCATGTTCAAAGTCAAAGTCAAAGTCAAAATCATTTATTTCAATTAGGCCAGAATGGCACTTTTGAACGTCAAAAAAATATTAAAAGTGAAGCTATTTGCTCATTCCAAGGTGTAGATTCCTATGGAGAAGAACGAGCAAGAAACTCCATAGGTTACTCTTTTTCAATCAGGTTCACAATACAATTTACTAGTTAGGTACATAGTTTTGCTGTTTGTTTGTTAATTATCTAGCTTACAATGTTTAATAAAAACATTTTGAGTAATTATGAAAATCCTGACGTCTGACATATTCAGGTATTTATAATTTACCTAGCTGGAAACTGTTCATTGGAACGATAATCTTAGATTAGTAAGTTATAGTAGATTTTTTTATGATTCAGGGTTTTTCAATGCTGTTGTTTCTGTGCAGGCGGCGAAGAAGGCGAGGGTGGTGGACTTCCGTGTTTGGTATTTGTGCATGGAGAATCCTACGAGTGGAGCTCGGGCAATGCGTATGACGGTACCACGTTGGCGGCTAATGGCAACATCGTTGTGGTGACCATCAACTTTAGGTTAGGTGTATTGGGTAAGTCAACGTTGTTTATATATATACATTGTGTTTTCATCATTATTATGTTAGTTAAATGTGTCCTGTTAGGTCTCCTTCCATATATTTAATATTGGCTGGTTGGAAGGTTGACTGGGAGGAAATGCCATATGGCATTAAATCCGCCTTATGTACCTTATTTTGTGTGCATTAAAGAGTTCATATTTAAATAAAAATAAATCAATAAATAAGACTTCTATTCAAATATTCCTGAAGAAGGTTGCTAAAGGGCTATCCACTTGATGTCACTTCGAAACAAAGCACAGAGATCAATATAGCAAACTAAGGACTGATTTTTTTATCGCCAGATAAATTTTTACTTATGAATAACTTTGAATATTTGACAATTCTTCCATACTAAAAACTGTCAAATGTCAATTTTACTCTTCAATTAGGAATTAACAGATGATTGTAAAATCGGCCCTTAAACATCTTATTTTATTAAACTGATCATTATCAAACTCAATATTCAAGTCTAAGTAGTGTTTTGCGTCAGTAAAACAAAATTAGGGAAATTTTCTTGCCCTCAAAATAGCACAAAATTAATTAATAACTAGTCTATAGACTTTATAATTCCTAAACTAAGAATAATTGAACAACAGCAAACAACCATAGACGTTCAAAATTACTAAACAGGCCGGTCTTTAGAGATACAATTACCAAAATGGCGGTTTATTAAACCAATTTAATTATAGATTCTTTATCAGGCCACTAGTATAGTCCCTAGATTCTATTGTGTAACGAACCACTGTAATTGTGTCCATTTTATGAAACTCATTAACTAGAATGAGTGGGCGATTATCTATCTGATGTAATAACAAGTTCCTACTAATTATGGGACAAAAATTAAGCGCAGAGGATTTCCTGTATCCTTACTTATATATTATATACATGTATGGGCACTGTAGTTAATTTTACGTGTAGGTAGTTACTGGGATATTTATTCTTATAGGTGATCTTTTTAATTAATATATGTATTTTTTGCGATGATGTATAAAATATCCGCATCAACAAAATTATCACATATAGTAAAGACATAGGCAGTGCAGTGTTGAAAGTTATACTTTTTTTTATAGAAAACGTTGCCCCACACTAGGATATTCTTCTGTGTCGTGGGTGCATTTACAAACATACAAATTCACATATACATCACATCATACCATACCCAGACACGAAACAACAATTTGTGAAACACACAGTGTTGTTCCGTGCGGGAATCGTACCCGCGACACGTTGCACGGCAGCCGGTTGCCCAGCCACCGTAACAACCGTGCAGTCCGTGCATACTGATTGAATGATAAAGTAATAATGACATATGTGTTAATCAAATTCCCCAACCTATCCAATCCCTGAATCCCCAACAATACTCAATTTTTTTATAATAACTATCGTGAGACATACTAAGTTAACTAAAAATCGCGGGTTATTCACGTGAATATACTGATGCGACCGCGCACGCTGCTCATGAAGAAGAACCCCTCTGTGGTTCGAAACTAGTAGAGCTTTTCTCAGTATATTCACGTGAGTAACCCGCGATTTTTATTTAATCCTCAAATTCCTAATCCCCGAACCCAAACGCACTTGTAACGCCTCTGGTGTTCCAGGTGTCCATGGGTGCCGATTACCATCAGGTGATCTGTCTGCTCGTTTACCGTCTTATACTATAAAAAATGTATAATGCCTCAAGTGGGTGTCTTATCTACTGCGTAAAAAGTATCGTGAAATATTATGCTTTGTCATAATATGCATAGCTAAATATAGATAACTTAACAATAAAATGACTTGAAATCTTATGAACGTATTTTAGACGGGTATTCTCGTTATTATATTTTACAGTAGCGAGCAACATTTGATGCAGCTGTAAAAAAACCATTTCGAAAATAATAAAAAGAAATTTTGTACGCTTTTTATAGCAAAGAATATCATTTTGCTTCGCGTCATTCTGTTTTTTTGAGCTATAAACTGAAATTGATTTTTTTCTGAAGGAAAATGTAATGGTGTCCTCAAAGTTGTATCGCGATTGAAGTAAGATATTGATTTTATAGCTAATTGTATGTGGAATAGTGGTTTTATTCTAGTGTTTTGTTTCTTATTGTGGAAGAGAGAAGTTATATTTGGATACTTTTTGACATTTACGAACTTAAATAATGATTAATCTTTAAGGTTACAATTTTAAAAACTTTTAGGCTTGGATTTGTTAAAGTTTACAGTATACAATAGAAGTTTATAATAGCAATCCTATTATACTTTATAAGCGTAGGCTCAGATGTACAGTACACAAAGCGTACGCAAAATGATAATGAAATTTCAATAAAATTACCACTATTGAAAGCTCTGAAACAATTAATTTAAAACTCAATATTGTAAATTTTTTTTCATTATATGCGGCAAACTTACTTACTGTTTTATTTGTGGAATTGAGGATCATGATGATATTTTACTTGACATGGGAATTGAACCGATATCTAATTCGTGCCATTCATATGGTCGCTAACGATCAGTCATCTCAAAGGATTTAGTATGCAAAAAACGTTCAACTAATCTAGTAAAATGTACTTACTAGAGAACGCAATACGCCAGTCAATTGTTTTTTTTAATTGTTCGCAAGGTGGCAATAGTTTGGATTTAGAAAGAGAACTTGTTATATTTTTGTCCTTATCATTTTGTGTCTGACGTCATTGGCATGTCATTTGTTTTTTTTATATTGTTCGAAAGGCGGCAATAATTTGGATTTAGAAAGAGAACTTGTTATATTTGTGTCCTTTTCATTTTGTGTCTGACGTCATTGGCATGTCATTTGTTTTTTTTACATTGTTCGAAAGGCGGCAATAATTTGGATTTAGAAAGAGAACTTGATATATTTGTGTCCTTATCATTTTGTGTCTGACGTCACTGACTTGTGTTTTGTTTCATTTTGCACTAATCAACCTGGCGAACAGTTCAATAATACCATATTTGTTCTATGTCATGTTAAAGTAATGGCACATTTGTATAGGAAAATATTGACGATTTTGGTAAATTCATTGCAATTTTACATTTTTACCAAAATATCAAGTCGGTTCAGAAGATTTATTAGAGCTTTAGCGAGACTAACGAACCGGAATTGAATTTAAACATGCTTGTGTTATGTCGAGCTGTAATGAATATAATGTAACTACCAATGTTTTAAAATCTAAGGACCTTAATTAGGTACACATAATACTGTACTTCTAATGATTGTATCTATAATAATTGGTGCCGTCGATCTGGTTTGTTGACGAAATTGGAAGGCGGTTGATGGAACCCTTGGTCTATCAACTAGTCTATGATTTTTTTCAATTTTTTTTTATGGCATAAGCCGGTAAACGAGCTGACGGATCACCTGGTGTTAAGCAATCGGCGTCGCCCATGGACACCTGGAACACCAGAGGCGTTACAAGTGCGTTACCGGCCTTTTGGGGATTAGGTGTTTGAGGATCGTTGGGGATTCAGGAATCCCAATTCCTGAATCCGGGATTGGGGAAGGGAAGGGTAATTGGGCCTCCGGTGACCTCACTCACACGACGAAACACAACGTAAGCGTTGCTTCACGTCGGTTTTCTGTGAGGCCGTGGTATCACTCCGGTCGAGCCGGCCCATTCGTGCCGAAGCATGGCTCTCCCACGCTTAATATAGGGCATACCATGGGTTAATTCACATAAGTACGTACATATAAGCGATTTTCAATCGTTAAAAATATCGAAGTAAGAAATTGATCACGCCCAATAGGAACTGATTGTCGTATGTTCCCGACAGAGTGTTTATAGGGTGTCCACGCGGTGTCCGTACAAGTGGACGGCTATTGTTTCAATAAATACTTTCGTTTTTCCGGGAAATTGTTCCTTCTTTTTACTTATTGTTTTTCCGAGCGCAAAAGTCAACTTTACGGTGTTGAATAAATTATTCTTTGATCGTTCTTATAATGTGGAAAATTAGGTTGGGAATTAGCAAAGGTGTTGTTGAAAGTTTGCTTATTATCATAATGAAAGTTCAACCATTTTCTTTGGCAAAGTATATGTTTTGTTTGATAAAATTCTCACATGGAATTGAATTATATTAAACAAAATATAACAGTGAAATGTAAGCTTTTTCCTGCTGTTCAGGGGAACCGGCGTGATGTTATTGTGTTCAGAAAACTATTTTGTTTTCTCTAATGTTTGCAATGTCCTAACAAAATTATATCGAACGATAAACACGCCCTATACTATTCCAAATATTTGTTTTCGAAGTCACTACTCGAAATTGATGTGATAGAAAATATTGATTCACTTGTGAACAATTTTCCTGAGAGGAAACTTTGAATAGCGATGACACATCTGGGGGATTGTATGAAATGTGTAAGTTTTTGTATTTACATAAGTGTCGCTATCCACTCAAGTGTATCTTCTTATACAGACACGTTCATGTGGTGCGCAAAAAACACATTATACGTCATAATTTATTGAAGACAATTCGAACTGTATTCCGGCTCTCGTTCCGCCACGCGACAGTGAAATATTTTGCATTATGACCCACTATTTCTCAGCTGCAAGCCGTACTCATACTGTGTATTTATATGTAAAATGTACGTTTATTTATACTCATACTTTATTTAGCCTTATTTCAGAGTCTTGTGTAATGTCACGTATTTATATTTTGCTTAATGTTCGTCGTTTTCTACCAGGTTTTTTAAAGACTGGTGCTAAGGGGTCGGCGCAGGGTAACTTCGGTCTGATGGACTTAGTGGCAGGGCTCCACTGGCTGCGGGAGAACTTGCCGGCATTCGGGGGCGACCCTGAGCGCGTCACGCTCATGGGGCATGGCACGGGGGCCGCGCTAGCGAACTTCCTGGCTGTCTCGCCTGTCGCAAGGGGTATGAACACTTCAATTAATCAATTATCTCGACGAAGGTTGACATGATTTGATTGTGAAACTTGCCGGTAACTTAAATTATGTAGTCGATGGATAAATTTTAATGGCTATTGTCGATTCGGAACAAGGCTGATGTAATCTTGAACACGTTTTGCGGGCGTTATGAATTATGAAATACACTTTAACTTTTCAGAATATTAAATTATCCTAAAATTTTATGAAATTGAATTAATGAGGAAATATTTTTAATGAACTGTCAGCATAAACAGGAAGGGTCGTTTCTATGAGCGCGAGGGCTGGGGCTGGGGGTGCGGGGCGCACCGGGCTGCTCACGTGCGGGTGTACGCGTGGGACAGGCATTGTGCGTAATTATACCGCTCCAGGCAGATTTCATTATTTCGTGTCACCATCCCGTTTAGATCCTCCGTCACTTAATGCGATTAAAAGGGTCACATCAGACATGCACAAGAGGGCAGTTTTCTCCGCGTAATTTGAAAATAAGGTCAACATCACACTCGAAGCTATTCTGAAATGTCTTTATTGTTTCAGAATAAGAGAAACGAACGCGGAAATAAAAATGTTTTTCTTTAGAAAAGATTTCATTATCTGGGTGATCCTCGTTCAAAATGACAAAATTAAATTAGGTTATCTGTTTCAGAACTACTGAAGCGCGTCATCTTGTTAAGTGGGTCGGGACTGAGTTCATGGGCGCTGCAGAGGGAACCGCTCACGATAAAAAGAAAGGTATCTATCTTTACGCTACACAATATCGGGTGTGAGCTTCCTGTTAAACTGAGCACTGCTTAATGTTTAAAAAAAATAACGGAGCCCTAAATTGGGACAAGGAAAGTTTTTGTATATTCGACTTATCCAATTTGCAAAAAAAAAACAAGAGGAAAGCCAAAATGGAAATTTTAAAAGAATGTAAGCATGATTTTATGTCATTCCTAGGTGGCTGAGCAGACGGGCTGTCACGGAGACCTGTTAGAAGACGACCTGGCGCCGTGTTTGAGGAACAAGCCTCTAGCTGAGTTACTAGCAGTCAGGCTAGACCCGCCTAGGTTTCTACCAGGATTCGCGCCATTCGTCGATGGCACCGTCATTGTTAATCCTTCCGTGAGTTGTCATTTCGAATATGTTTAACCTCTTCCTATTTCGTCGGGGATTGGAAGGTATACATATGTACCTAGATGAATGTAGAAAGCAAACAACAGTAATATAATAATTGGAATATATATACTACGATGCACACTGTACTGTCCGTCTGATTGCCCAAGAATTGTGTCAAACGTAATGATCGTCATCAATTCGATTCATTACCAGTGTAGTGATGGCTGAGGAAAATACATTCGTTGCCACCTCCTGCGGGTGTCTTAAGAGTCGACTTACTGTCAATTTCAATAATGTGTAAAATCAAAACTGTAGAAGAAGATTGATTTTTGACATTCATTTTTTTATGGGATAAGCCGGTAAACGCGCAGATTGATCTGGTGATGGTTAGCAACTGATGTCGCCGATGGACACCCAGACCACAATAGACGTTACGAGCGTGTCACCGGCCTTTTGGGGATTAGGAATTTGAGGATTGTTGGCGATACAGGGATTGGGAAGATTGTTGGGTAAATAGCCTTCGGGAACGCAAGCGATGTTTCATCTCAGTTTTTTGTAAAGCCGTGGTATGACTCCAGTTGAGCCGACCGGATTCATACCTCGACCAATAGATTGGTGCCGAAGCATGGCTCTCCCATACTTGTTGTTGTATGGAGTTTCTATCAAAAACTGATCTTAAGTCACAGATTTTAGATAGCATTTTGAAATTGGCAGTTAGGGGATACTTAAGCAGCAGGGTTTTATGTTGAACTTAATCATTTAAAACCTAATATTAAGACAAACCCTTCCTTTGTAGAGGAGGCTAAGAGTTCAGCAGTAGAGTCTCATGGGCTCCTGATGATGATGGTTATGATACGAACTGTGCGTGCTTTCATCGTACAGTTGTGTTCCTTTTCATTCGCAAATTCATCGTTAATTAACGTACTGGTCTCGGACGAACAACCCCTTTGACGTAATTAACAGAATGTTTTCGGTAATAAATTGACGTCACACCTGTGCCTGTGTATAAACGTTACGGGAAATATGACGTCTGGTGGGAGATTACACAGATGATTTTATTTTGAGATTTTCTTTGTGTTTTTTGTTCTACTCACTATATTTAGGTATCATTACACTATTAAATAAAATTCAATAGACTAGTTGTATCCATGTGATAATATATGCCAGTGCTTTTTTTAAATCGTGTAAAAATTTCTGAACGTTGTCAAACAGACATGACTAATTACGTCCCGAACGCATATCTTTGTATAAAACGTTACTATTTTAAAAGTTACTATCTTGTGTAAAATCAATACACATTAATAGAACTAATAAAATAAAACGAAGGCAATTTCTGTTGGGTAAACATAAGGTGTTGATTTTCATTACAAATACCCAGATATTGGAAACCAATTAGAATATGGAAACGTCTAGAATTTCCAGTGATTACTATAGTTTGCAGGTTGTAGCCCAATAACGGCCTACCTGAATAACATTTGATGCCCAAATGGCGGCCTTCGAATACCAATTTGGGTTCAATATAATTTCGTCAATTAAATCGAAGTGGGTACCTGGGGAATTACCTTGATTGTATGAACGAATATATTGGTTTGATTCTTTATGTCTGCCACCATTTTGCTCCCAATGTCGTTATCTGTTTGGTATCTACTCGAATTAATAGAGTAGATGAAAAATGTAAAATATGAATAATGTGATAAATAATGTAAAAATGAAACATTAGACATGTATTTTTTATTTTCTTACGGAAACAAAATATACTTTCGAATATATTACATTAATAAAGACAAGGTGGACAGACGACCTGATCAAGGTCGCAGGGAGCTGCTGGATGCAGGTCGCTTCCAACCGGCCTATCTGCTATCTGGAAGTCATTAGGGGAGGCCTATGTTCAGCAGTGGACGTCCAGTGGCTAATATGATGATGATAATGATATTACATTAATTTGAAAGATCGTGTGACGTCACTTCTAGGTTAGTTTTATACGTAGAAATGACGTAGTTAGCTGTTACTTCTTTGATTCGTTTTATTTAAGTACTAGCTGTTCCTCGCGACTTTGTTCGCGTATAACAATGACTTCTGGCGAATTTTGGATTTTTTAGTTAGTCTTTTCCGAGGTTTCTTCGTAGTTTTCTCACACATCGGGTACACATTATCGAAATTTTTAAACGGCCCCGTGTTTTTCTCTCTTATTAAATATAACCTATCAACAGTTGGAATCCTATATTACCGATCATCATGTGTAATGTAGGATTCCAACAATTCAATGATTTTCATATCGATAGCAGTTTTATTTTTTAAATTGGCAAATAACCGTTGGAATAGTACACAACATAGTTTTAAGATAAATAAAACTACGTTTAATTTCTGTCGGTGCAAATAAATATCGTTCTAATTTATTTTCCAATAAGTACTTTTATGGAATGAAAGTTTTTATTCTGGACTCTTATTAAAGAGCATTAAAATGTTCAATATAGTTTCAATTAGCTTTTCTATTGAAAGTAACTGTTTATTTATTTCTTTTTCTATCTATTACGACTTTATTGACTTCCACTTATGCTGGTAAACGTAGGTATAATATGTTTTAATGAAGCTTAGGCTATGACTGGGTTAGTTGGTTAAACGAAATAAAACTGAGAAGAAAGACTAGTAAAATTATATATTATATGATTTAAGCACTAGATTTGATTTTGAATTTACAATAGTGCTATTAGAGTCTTCTTGGCTTTTAACATCATCGATTTTTGAAATATTTTTAGAATATATTAATATTCAACTTTATAAGTGTGATTATAAAGTATGTTTCGAGAAATCGTTGTATGATAAAATATATGCTTTGAAAACAAAATAAAAAAGAATGTTCAGGGTCATTTTCATTTAGGTACACATGCTCCCAAAATTGTTTCTACCCTCGTCATATTTTTTTATTTTGTACAGAATTTAAGAGATTTTGTCCTAGCACATGGTATGAATATGTTATCAGGCACCACCTCCTACGGATAGTTCAAGACTCGGCGCGGGCGCAGCGGCGGTCGCAAACGCAGCTGGACACGAACTCGCCGACTTCTCACATAGAGAGCTACTGTTTGGACTAACTACCACCGGTAACATAGCTTTTCTTTTATTTTTCTTCTTATCTTAAAACACTTAAGGTCCATTTTTCAATCAACAGAATATAATTCTTATCTGTAGAATAAAATTGTCATTTGACAGTTTTTAGTATGGAAGTATTGTCAAATGTTCAAACGTATTCCGCCGATGAAATTAACAAGACCTTACAAAAATCGACTCTTAAAAGAAATTATTTTGACCCCTTTCAGTTGATTAGAAGCTTGAAATGTTTATCTCCACAGGGAAGAATAGTCTTACTGGCCATTCTAAATGATTAGTCACAACATATGATAAATAAAAATACATGATCAAAAATTCATTCCACATATAATAAGTACTTGGAAAGTTTCGCTATTCAAAACACCGCAGAATACACGAGCAAACAAACCAGCAATAGTTTGCGCTAACGTTTGTGAAACGTTGAAACACATGTAGCTCTCGTATTAGGATTAATGTTGACGTACATTTATAGTATGTTAACTAAAATAGCAATAGGCAACCTTATTTCTAATTACGTCAAGGTTTAAGTTGTATTCACGCGAGTACAAAGATATCACTCGGTGTACAAATAAACAAACATAATGTACGATCTTAATATCTGTCTTAATTACTCTCCATTTAAATTTATGAATTAGACTATTTATTTCAATTCACCCTGTATGTGTGGCGTGTTAGTAAACGACAAGAATATATACACGCATCTATAAGACTTGCGGTTCCAAGTATTGAAGTTGTAATTCACATAGCGCTAACATACTTCAGAATAAATTGAATGAGGCTTCCGAAGTGAATGATAAATACATGCAAATGAGCAGCATGCCTTTCTTGCAGAATCTTACCTGGAATTTAACGCCCAAGACTTGGAGTTTGGCTTCAACGAGAGCCGACGGGATCGCATTCTTCGCACTTTCGTCCGGAACGCGTACTATTACCACCTCAACGAGATCTATTCGACCTTGAAGAACGAGTACACGGACTGGGATAAGCCTGTGCAGAACCCGCTCAGCGTGCGCGACGCCACGCTCGAGGTGAGTCGCACACATTCATGTTTACACCATGTATTATCCCATGTTGACACGACATTTCATGTATGCTGTCTATGTTATGTTGTCAATGTTATGAAAGCTACGTTGACATCCACGTGTAAGCAACTTGGTTACCTATGACTCATTACTTCCACATAATAATCTCGTATTTACTAATATTTCTTTAATAAGGCCAATACCATTAAAAATTAGGAGAATATTTTGCTAAACAGTTATACTTAAACGCACGTGCCTCCGCCTATTTCTCAAAAGAGAATACTTGAAATATCATTAAGAACGCAATTGAGAAAGCTTCTAATATTGTGAATACAAATAGAAATAACGTCGTAATATCACCCGTGCAGATACACTGGCGCGCTCTTTAAGATCAGCAGTAATAGAGAAGGCTCTGAATATAAATAGCGAAGATTTTCTCTAATAGTCCTGCTTTTGTTTTGTTTCTGTTCTGAATATAGAACAAAACCCGATAACCGACGTCGATAGTGAAACTGCTGAAAGTTGATAACTGTCGGCTGAGTTGACATTAGTAGAGCGACGGTGGCGCGGCCTGTGCGCGGGGTGTCGGCGTCGCAGACGATCTCAATTTAAGCCTCAAGTGGTTTTCGCTCCTCATCGAACGCTCTTCCGACGTACAAAGGGAGTTAATGACGCTCGCGCACGATGAATACACTATGGGAACGTTGAAAGGCTTTATTGGAAAATACTTGCAACGCCTAATAAGACGATAACATTGTTATGATACGGCTGACACCAATTCTAACCGTTGACAGTTGTAGCGTGGTTACGTTTCGTGATAGTACTTAAAGATAACTTTGTGTATCGGTTCCTTTTAATATCATGATTTATATACATACATACATATAGACATTTCGACTAACTCATCTCAATGTAACACAGGTACTAAGTGATGGACGGACTGCAGCGCCACTAATCAGATTGGGGTACCTTCACGCACTTCGAGGTGGAACCACGTACTTTACTCATTTCCATCATCTGTCACAAGACAAGGATTATCCACAGGTAAGGACATGATATTTTCCCATAACTTGTGGTTAAAAAAATTTAACCTTTTGTAAGTTTAACGTTTCGTCAGTTTGAAAGTTAGATTTTCATGTGTTACAATAATTAACAGGTATTTTATGTAAGTTAATGAACTTGATTACACTAATATACGACTCAAAATAGAGTTGCGAAAATATAATATGAAGTGTATATTTAAGGCTTCTGATCACTTATAATTCAAATAAACCAACCGACAATGCTTTGCGACCCTCTAGTAGGGTACGAATCTCGGCTTAGAGCGTCGCTGAGGAAGGCCAACAAGGGACAAGTTGGATCAGATCTTAAATTTATTTATGGGGCGTTTAGATTACATGCTCAATGCTGAGAGCTTCCAGCAAGGGTCGAAGAGGGTATTACAATAACCACATCGTCCAAATAAATAAATTTTGGTAATGCTTGTAAAGCTTACTCAGCTCATTGTATCCTAAGAAGGATCGAATACTTTCGAGACCAACTAAGGGCTCCGGTTGGCAGAATAGTTTTACGAAACTAGTCGGGTATCTTCATAATTAAAGGATCACTACGGCGTAGGCAGTATGTCACATGAAAAGTAATTTGTCACCAAAGCTGGCAAACAAATTCGATTTTTGGCGGAAAATGTTGCTTAACTAGAGAGTTATGCAATATTCCATTGTTCCAAAATTCCATGAAAGTGCGTTATGTAGATATTGTCGCAGTTGGTATAAGACATGCACACTCAACAACATGGTTCTTGGCAACGGCTTATCAACCCAATGATGGCACAGCACTTTTCTTCTCCAAAGTTGTTAATCTTCGTTTATGTCGGCCATAAACTCTGTTTGAAATAGATTCAGTAAACCAATCTGAATGGACAAACAAAACAGTTTTAGTTTTTGGAGTTCTATAGACCCTTTTGAATGATTCCAAATAAGAGTTGTTTTGACTTGGACACGCTTGTTATTGACTGAAGTTTGTCGAATAGAACAAGAACTGAAATAGCTACTCATGTGTATTTAAGAAATTTTCAATATACGCTAAAAACGATTTCATTGAAGAGATAAAGTTCTTAATATATATACTAATACGGGATTCATATAACTTTTTAACATTGTGTAATATTGGACTCGGGGATTGAATTCAACTCTAATTGTCTCGCAAAAAGTTACATAGCGTTTAAAACTATAAATTTCGAAACTCCACATTATGACAAGCACTAAGTTGCTATAGTAGTCGTTGACAGGGCTGCGGTTGTCGAAACGTGTCGACGCACGTGCGGTCACTCAGTGAACTGCACGATATCTGGCTATACACCTGTTTGTTATTTCGACAACCCTAGCGGCCACTTGAATGGAGTTGTTAATAGCGCTATACACGTACTGGCGGTTAGTCTAGATTGAGGTCAACTTTAACTGTTAAAGGATAATCTATGTACGTAACTTCGCTGTAGTGTGGCACTATCTTGAGAATAACGTTGATGGGATGTAGGTACTATGTTTCTTGGTGATGTATAAATTTCAACTTAGGGCTTTGTCTCTGCTCTGGGGCCCTCTTCTAAAAGTGGTTTTAATCTTGTGCAAGTTTTTTTTACAGCTTACAACTTACAATGTTTTCCTAATTAAAAGTATCCTTTCCTTGTTCCCACGTAGAGACCTGGTTCAGTCCATGGAGAGGAGCTCCCGTACTACCTGGGTGTACCCATCTCCCTTACGCATCATCAGCAGAATTATACGCAGCAAGAACAGCGTGTATCAAAACTCTGCATCCATTACATCTCCAATTTCGTTCGATATGGGTAAGGAATTGTATAATTTATGTCTACTGTCTTAAAATTCAATACCGAATACGAAATCAAGAAACTGAAAATCTGTTTTGTTTTTAATCTTTAGAGCGTAGTTATCATTTCAATTTAGTAATCTTGGTTCATTTTCTTGCACAAGTTGATACTTGAAAGTATTTGCATGAAAATGGAGGTGAACGTTTATAAATATGTTGATAGGGTCACGGAAGGTTCCGTATGCAAAGAACGGTCACCCATATCGGCGGTGAGCAGCTTAACTCCGCATATTGATCAAACTGTATTTAGTCCCCAACCTCTTCTCGTATTTGTTGTGTTCAGTCACGTATTACTAAATAAACATTCCAAATCTACCACTATTTTGTCTCTGTATTGCAAGAGTTTTGTGGTCGTCGATTGATTTACAAATTATTAACTTTACTTTGAATTTGTTGGGAAACAGAATTTCTCAGCAAGGATTTAATTACGAAATTTGTTCAATGTGAAATATTTAATGAGCCACTCTCACTTTAAAACTTTATATTGGCAGTTTGTTTGATCGTTACATCAATACCATTATTTTATGTAAACTTTTGTTTAGGAATCCTAATGATCCATCGGCCACCCCTCCTCCAAGCCCAATGCTGGGCGAGACTCCACGACTGGGTCCCGATCAAACACCATACTGGGATACATATGACACTATCAACCAACTATACATGGAGATCAGTAAGTATCGCTTCAAATATTTTATGTTACTATCTGCGAAAAACTTCTTGATTAGTTTATACGATAGATACTATATGTTGAAGATCCCTTGTTTATGTATCTTTCCGATTTCCTTTATAGCTATACTATTCAATGTCGTAGTAATACACTAAAATATATGGGGCTTGGAAAGCTCGCAGACCGAATAGTTGCGAAGATCAGCATCTGTTAACAACATAAATAAATAGATTACGTTTGGATTTCAGCATTGTGTCAGTAGAAATTTTGAGTTAGCCATTTAAAACTTTAGGGTCAACTTCGTGAAGTCGTGACCGCTGCGGTTACGGTTAGGGCTCATTTATTTTCAATTGTGTCGTGTCCCGGGTACAGGTAGCAAGCCGGAGATGCGCAGTCACTACCGAGGACATAAAATGTCGCTGTGGCTTTCCCTCATCCCGCAGCTGCATCGGCCCGGATCCGATCTTCCTGACGCTGCCATGCGACATCATCACTTCCAGGAAGACAATGCTAATTACTATGAAGGTATGTTATTTAACGCGTATTCAATAATGTTTTGAAGTATTTGGATAAATAACTAACTTTGTTTTTAATACAGGTGCTGTTCGAGCGCAGTCAATGTCGCGCGCCCATGTGCCGCATGTGGTGGAGCTAGAGGGAGGTGCGCGGGGTGGGACACGCAGTACTGTGCCACCCCGTGCTGCACCTCCTCGCCCTGTCCCCGCAGCACCACCGTCAACAGAGTGTCCACCCAACGCCACAGCACCAACTGTCCATCCGGATGATGCTCTGTTGCGTCGTCTCGCGTCTTCGCACTACCAGTCCTATACAGCAGCACTGACTGTCACCATTGCCGTTGGTTGCTTTCTTCTATTGCTCAACGTCCTTATTTTTGCTGGTATCTACCATCAGCGTGGTTCCCGTCCACGACGCTCGAAGGATGATTTAGCAGAAGCAGGTAGCTCTTCCTCTTCTGACAACTATGATGGAAAACTAGACTATGAAGTTCGGGCGTTTGACGGCAAAGGATTCGGATTTGAGTGTAAATCGGCGCACGTGCCTAGAGGAGTGGGCTCCAAATTTGATCTTCGAACATTGTCGGACTGTGGTGAGCCCACTTTTGGCGAGTACAGTTGCTATGACGAGAAGCACCGCGCAGCGCGTAGTTCCATGCCTGACGTAAGTGTGGGCAGTGCTATAGAGGCTGGGAGTGTAGTGTGCATTGATACTCAAAAGCCTGACATTCAGAAGGTGGAAGGTCGGCCGGGTGATCCCGTTGGCCGCACTAGTACATTCGAGCCACGTGTGGTGGACAATTCCACACAGGTAAAGTTTGGCCCAGATGGCGCAGAGAGCGCGGGCGACGCGGGAGCGGAGGGGGAGGGGGGCGGCATACTACGCGCGCCACCCGCACCCGCCGCGCCCGCGCCGCCCGGCATTATGAAGAAGCGGGTACAGATACAGGAGATATCCGTATGAGGGTTCCTCGACGCCGCCGCCGAGGTCGTAGTCAACAAGCGGACTAAGTTGTGATGTGTGTCATCTAAACGTGTACATAGAACTGTGAATGTACTCCTCTCGTGTACGTGTAAATAATAATATAACAGTGTCTAATAATAATGAGTTGTAAGTGCGCGCTAAATAGACCCGTGTGACTAGTTCGCCTTACTGTGTTGTGGCGGAACAAATGCAACCACGTCTTCATTTTCCGCTCTATTTCTGAATGGATTGCGAATATTAAAAGCGGGTAAAGTGAGCGTCGATGTGATGTGATTCATAATGGAGGAACGTTTCCACGTCTGGATATGAATAGATACGCCAGGTGTTACACAAATATTTTTCAGCTGAACGACAATGTCAGACAATCGGTAAACTACTTGAAATGCATTCAGCTAAAAAAAAGTTCTATAGGTTTTTGCCTGCGGTATCCTAAATCATCCAATTTGGCCTACTTACTTAATGATTGAAGATATGATAATGGCGTGAAAGGAATCTTGTTTGAATAACTGTGAAAGTCAAACTTGGCTCGGGTCCTGTGCTCTATCTCTGTGCTATTGATATTACCCGACACAGATAAATTCATCCAAGTTGCCTTTTATGGTAATAGTATGCCAGTTACAATTTATTTCTACTGTCGGATATAGAATGAAGGAATTGTAGGCTCTTGTGAATATATACGTATTTAATAAATGTGAATATAACAATAAATTAGTGACAAAAGACTTAACAACAACCCAACATTAGCTGTACATACTTATATCAAACGAAGTGTTTCAGGTACGTAGGGTAAAGTTACTATTAAAGAAAACATGGTTTAAAAAACATCGCACACGTTGTAATTTTTTGTAAAGTTACTTTTAAGTGAGGTGTATTGATTTTGAGTAGTTTTTGATAAGTAAATATTGAAAACTTATTACTTAATGGACGAGTACACGGAGAGCCATTATCCAAGTAAACCATTACGCTTGCTCCCAATAAGGTCTCAAAAGGTAAACAGGGTAATAGACAACATTGTCTACTCTTCGATCCTGCAAAAAATCCCAATGAATAATTGAGTACCACGTTCAGAAGCCAGATTTAGTATTGGTATCACCAGAGTTTTATACATAAACGTAATAATGTTTGATACTCACATAAACATACACAAAAGGCAGAATTGTCGATACAATAAATCCCCAATTAGTCCCTTATTGTACTTGAACAACAAATCTTTTATATTACTCTGTTACCAGGAATCGTGCGTTATCTGCGTAAAATAAATCTCCTGAATTATTGAAGAAGTCTCAAGATTTTTTCTTAAGCATACATCTTTAGGAATATTGTTGAAAAATGCTGATATGTGACAAAAATTCGAGGTATTTTCCTCTCATTTTGATCCGCTGTAGACAAATCCCTAGTACTCGTCCATATTTTTATCTTCACAGGAATTGATGATGATTAAATTAATGGTGAGTAAATATTTAAACACTTACACCGTTTTCCACATTGTGACAAAATGTGAACTATTATAATAAACTCAATTTATTTACTTCTGTGCAACATTGTTCTATTTACTAATCATAAAATGTAAAAACAATTTAATTGTAGATAAACTGGAATTGATTATAGTCGTAGTACGATTGTTTCCTAATTTAATTTCTATTCGCTAATATATATTTTTTAAATGTTGTTATATTTATGCCAAAACTTTATTATGTGCCAAATGGTAGAAGACTATTAAAAATGCTTTCTGTGAAAAATGTTTTAAATGATTGATAAAAGAGTTTGTAACCAATTCTGGAGGATAAAATATTTGATTTGTGTTCAAAGAATTATGTAAACGAATTTGATTCAACATAAGTCATGTAAAGAGTTTTATATATTGTTTCGAATTCTACGTGTTATGGACCTAGTTAGATTTTTTCGAAAGAGAAATGAAATTACAATAATGATTATGGAACTTGGCATTCGTATTATTTTTATGAGTACCCGCATAATACTCATAGTAACAATTTTAGAAAAAAATTGTTGAGTTTGTTACATCGATAACTAAGTTATTATCAAAATCACGATGTAATAAATTAAATATTATCAAAATATTATTTGACATCCTTAGAGGAATTGCTTAATTAAGTTGTTATACATTATTGACATTTTTATTACTGTTATGTTATAATTTTATTCATGTTATTTCCAAGTAGGATAAAATAAACTAATTAAAGTTTGTACATGCTGGACATCAACATTTTGTTACAATTTGGTGTTTAATGGAATGCATAAAATATGGTGTCGAATAAAGAATTGAAACTTAAACGTTTTTAATTTCTATCATGCCCTTTTGAAAATGACGACGAACGTAAAAATCACAAAGTAAAAACTAACGAATTACATTTCAGACTATTACCAAGACTAAAATAACATTCATTCCCTTTGCGAAGTAAAAAATAGAAACAAAAGAAAGGTAGACATAGAAGGAGACGTTCAAAATACATAGAATTAAATTACAACTTAATTGAAGAATATCCAGTGGTAGAATAAACCCTTATCTAAATATTTAATTACGTTTAACTACTAAAAATATTTGTTATTTCAATAGAACTAAATGTTGTTAAATAAAATAATCTAGTAGTTGAATAAACCTATTCCTATCTAAATTCCAGGGTTAGACAATTAAGTGTTTCATTTTAAGCTAAGCGATTGCCTTGCTTTTACACAATCCGCAAGGATTAATAATAAATTGAAGTAGAAATAAATGGAAATGCCGAGAGAGCTACAAGGTAGAAAGTTAATGAAAGTGCTGATTCCCGAGCTGCCGCCGCGTGATAATTCATTTTGTTCGTTGAGTTACTTTGCGACAAAGCGGGCTGGTGTGTTTGGAATTGCAGCGGTCTAATTTGCCTCGACACATACCCATAGGAGTTAATTCGCGACGGACCGACTAAATCCATTTCAACTACTCCCAGAGATGTATGACGAAGGGAATCAAAGATCATTAATTCCGAGCGCACCATCACTTGTTGCTTCTTCAAACACATAAATTATCCGCCGGATTAAAAATATCCATACTCGCTTCACATGGATAATATGAATAAATTAGTTAATCTCATGGAAACTCCATGCAGTCTCAGGATGCTTGGATGTTGTCGGATTAGGCGCACATGTAAGCTTGTTATGTTCACAATATTGGAAAAGTTTACCGAAGAATACAGGATTAGAAAAGTTCTAGACGGCACTGAGACGACGCAACATCAACTTATGAGTTTGTAGGTATCTTGCCATTGTATAGCTCTTCTGGCTCTGCTAGTACCTACTTATTTTGTTGTGTCATGAAACCAATCCGATTTAGGTATTTATGACACGGAGTTCCTGGGAAATGAGAATGGATTTATTGCTATTATGCTAATACAAATTATGCCGGGTTATATTGAAATTCATAGAAGTACTCATCAATTTTCAGCTTGAGGAAACTTGAATTTATTCCAAAAAGTTTTGTGAATCTGAAGGAGGAAAACTTGGTCTAGTAGTTATTTCAAGTTTAAATTCTTCGTGGGATAGCACCCAGCACCCACCACAATCCTGCTTTAAGAGCTCGTTTAGTTCTGTTTTGTCTTTTAAGTTTCTATCACAACACAGCGCTGTTAGCGACAACTGCTTGTGAGGCGTATTTAAAATTTTAGGTTAAATTATTTTTATTAGAATGCCCTCTACCTCACTTTGCATTTTGTTCCTGCCTTATATAGGCAGTTTGCATTTTGAGGTAGGTACTTTGTATGTAAACTCTAGTAGGAATCTACACGTGTCGCGGGTGTTGTAACTAAGTGCCTTCTTACACAAGGGCACATCATTTAAACACACAGTACTCGCAGACATGTTAGGATTTAATCTCTCAATTGATTTCGGTGTAAACAAGTCAACTTCCATTAAACAAGCAGTGTACCCAGCGGCGATAAACATTTAAACATACCAAGTTACGGGAAAATAATTGCGTTTCCATTTGGATATGTGAGCGAGTCCAGCTTGTAACGAACGGGGAGAGCGAATGAAGCGGACCGCGAAACCTTCAAATTGAATTTTAAGCATCCAATTTGTTTGCGCGGTGGTGCCGCCTGTACCGGGTTATATCAACGCGGCATCGTCGCACCGCCCGCGCGCTACCCGCCGCCCGTGCCTCCCGCGAGTTCCCACACTCGTAAAGCGATTTTTGCCAGCCGCACTGTGACCTCGAACGGGATTTGGATGAATTATTAATGCACCTACTGCTGCCATGTAGGTATTAAAATAAAAACTATGATTCCATTACAAAATATGAGGATTTCACAAGATTTTTGTTCTAAACTGTAATGATTTTATTTACGTCAAATTCGATTAACGAGAACGGGTAATAGGTTTTGGGTTCTTGGGATACCTGTGTCCTGCGTCTGCTTAATCTTAATTGCTTGGGTACCTTTGGCAATAACGATTATTTCTAATGATTTAATTCCCAAGGCTTCAAGTATGTTCGTGTAACTAAGTAGGTCACTGAGGTAAGGTTGGTATTTTATATTTAGTGGAACTATTTCACGCCTCCTTGGAATTTCGTTTCGATAGCAGTTATCTCCAATACTCAAATTCTCCTCTAAGATGGGTGCGAGCGAATTACGCGAATATAGTTGTGCGAAATAGTAAATGGTTTTCTGTTAGGTATGTGTAATAATCTCTCTGGATTTTCTTGTAATATATTTAACTGGTAGATTTATTCACATCAAGACAAAATATTTAGTTATTGCATGAGTTGACGCAAATAAAACAATAGAATTTTACGGTACATCATTTTCTACGTTGCAACCATGAGCAAATGTCCTTCGTGACAGTCATGTTGACCTTAGACAATATAAAGAAGATAATTCTTAAAAAAGCTGGCAGAGATACTCAATATATTTGAAGTAGCCTTGGCAACAACAATAGTTACTACTTATACATCAAACAAACTTCAGATCCCACCAGAACGTGTTTATTTAGGTTGTCTACATTGCCCTGGTTAAACTTCTTAAATAAATAAACACATTTATCTGTGCTCAGAACGTTGAAGATTCTATTGGCAGATTTGATACCCTGACGTAACCCCTTCCACGAGATAAGAGAGAAAGATATATTTTCCAAATGTAAAGGTTTGATAGATGATTTCTATCGTTTCCGATTTGATAGGTTTAGAAAAGAAAAGAATAGTTTGTGTTTTCATCTTGCCCTTCCCGCTTACTTGTAAAGAATCCTCAAAGGAAAGAAAATGTCTTTATTTGGTCAGCATTAAGTATAGATAGGGAAAGATTTCTTATTTAAAAATAACATGGGGTATTTTTTGTTTCTCTATGAGGAAAACGGAAATATTTAATTTGATGCCACGGAAATGTCAACGGCAGCCATTTGTCTCGTATTACAAGTGACTTCACTGCGAACACAGGGACCGTTAGCGACGTACCGAATGCATTCACAAAAGCAAATTGAAATACAGACATAAGTCGTACTTATACAAAATACTGCAATAGTAACAATGAGACAAAATAGATGTAAAGAGCTTCCTAACTGCGCTTAAGACCGGCAACTCGTTGAAATAAAGTTCTATAGACTACGCGACGCATTAGAATTTCAAAAAAGCTCTGCTTCTCAAAGTGTCGTAAGACGTCTGTTTCCCACCAGCACAGTTATTTTCGCTACGAATTCAGGTGAAAATAATTAAACTGCCTACATTAAAATATAATTATTTCAAAATTAATAGAAACTTATTGAAAATTTTGTTTCGAACCTTTGAAAGAAGAAAATGTTAATAACCTACACCGACCTTCATCTCATGTTTCGGCGAAAGCACTTACCCACGTTTGTAATTTTGTATTTCTTCGTTTGATCTTGTTAATTTGTATAATTTCTACTTAAAGAGAGGCTGAATAAAAAGAGGGCATTACGAGCCATTTGTTCACATTCGAGCAAATGAGTCCTGTGAGCAGGTAGGACAGGGAGGCCGTATTACATAATTCACGTCTCTTCAAACACTCACTTTTATTTTACAACGTGCGCGCGTCGCTTTTGATGTGCTCGCAAATTTGCGTGAGATCTATTTACAAAGCGCGCCAGTCAGTTATTGCATTAGCATTGTGTGTTTTTATTTAACACCGAGTCAAATGAGAGGCGCTCGTGCACTCCCTAACAAACAACTGCACCGCGCCACCCTCGCCTTACAATCATATTTTCAAAAGCATAAAACTTTTTCAACTTTCTGTTTTACCTCGTAATCAAATTACAGGAATGGTTCAAGTATCATCGTTACAAAGGTTATTCCTTCAAATTGAATAAATAAACGGCTAAGTACTTAGGTAACATTTTGGCAAAGTTTTAAAAAGGTTTTTTGAATATTCGGATAGCGTTGTCTGCAGGTAGATTTGCTTTTTGTGAAAGTATGAATTAATAACAATATCTATTAGTCTACAGATTTGAATGATAGTTAAAGGTGAAACAAGTATATAATATTATTTCAAGTAAATCGCAATATTTCATAAAGGCAGAGGCAGGTATATCATTACTTTTGAATAGAATCTGAATAGACATCCATTCTACTTTTCCTTGATTCTGCCGAGTTCTTCTATAACAGGAAAAGTTTATATCAATTTCTACATCGATCGGAACCGAGATAAACATATTGAGAAATTGCCTTGGAAATATTTTTATTCATCGGATAGTTTAAATTATGTTAATTTGATCACGTAATCTGAATATTTCTGTGGATTAGTATGCGAGAGGTGGGTGCAGGTGCGCTGAAAACTGATCGCGGCATACGACCCTACGTGAGGCGCCTTCGACAGGCGTGAGGAGCCATGAGGACCCAAATGACCGCTTTATCGCCTCACTGAATTTCTTAACGATAATCTGAGAATGAAAAAGGCGCATGACGCTTAATGGCTGCCATATGGCTTTTTTTGCGATATTCTGCTTACTTATCTTCAGATATGGGGTGTTTATAATGTCAAACAGTTTTATACGCTTTATAGGCGCTTAGTTTAGGGAAATCTATACTAGCATAAGTACTATATTGGTCTTCATTCCAAATAATATATGACCGCTGAAAGACTTTAATGTTCATGTCTCAAATGCTTCTTTAAATCTTCTTTAAATCAAAGTTTCTTTTTTAAATAGATCGCGTCCGTTTTAATTTTTTTAGACACCTCTACGCATTTTAAGTAGTATACAGTTCAATAAACTATCTATTTTCTTATTTTCATCAATTCATCTGAT